GCCTCGGAGTCAGCCTCCTCGGTGCCTCACTTCCCCACTTCCTCATCTGCTTCTTTACCTGGGTGCCAAGTATCTGATCACTGGGCATCCATTACGCCAGGACCCCTTCCCACCTTCTTGACTGTCCCTCAGGCCTGGGGTCCAGCAAGCAGTGAGCGGTCCTTGATGCGCAGGGTGTCCCCGAGTGTCATTTGATTGTTGCACCGACTACATCTGCTCAGCCAGGGGCTCCTGGATGTCTGGGTCATCCTGACTCACCTGTGTCCCTGTCCTCTGGGTCACCTGGCAGGGTGGGCAACCTGTAGACATCAGTTGAAGTGATGGACGGAGGGTGATGTTTCCACTGCAGGGATGTGCCTCAGGGAACAGCCAGGGTCATTACTGACCTAGGGTGCTGTCTTAGTTATCTAGTGCTGCTATAACAGAAATACCACAAGTGGGTGGCTTTAACAAATGGAAATTTATTTTCTCACAGTTTAGGACGCTAGAAGTCTGAATTCAGGGTGCCAGCTCTAGGGGAAGGCTTTCTGTCTCTTCTGGCTCTTTGAGCTTCTGTTTCTGGGCGATCTTCATGTGGCTCGGCATCTCTCTTCCCCCATCTCTGCTTGTTTCAATTGCTTGTTTAATCTCTTGTATTTCAAAAGAGACTGATTTAAAACACACCCTACACTAACCCTGTCTCATTAACATAACAAGACAACCCGTTCCCAAATGGGATTATAACCACAGGCATAGAGGTTAGGATTCATAACACATATTTTTAGGGGACACAATTCAATCCATAACAGGCACCCAAGGGAAAGGCTTGTTGCGGGGAGCTGGTGGGTTAGGTGAGTTCTTGCTGGGACAGGTCCATTCAGAGCCCAGGACGTCAGCCAGGACAGGAGGCCTCGGGGTGGTGGGAGGGCTGGGGAGGGCAGACGGAGCCTGCAGAGCAAGCCAGGCTTCTCCTCTCAAAGTGGCTGTGGCTTAAAAAATGATGAGGGGGACATGTGCTTGGTTTCAGATCTCCACTACAAGCTGATCATGAATCAGAAGCCGCCAAAGAAAGGTAAGACCGGGGCTCTTCAGTGCCTGCTGTGGAGAGTAGCCCCTATAGACCTTTCTGCCCACACAGCTGCACTGGCGTTTTACACTGCCCCCAGCCACCCAGGTGCAGGACTTCTGCTCCCAGGGTGCCCAAGACCTGATGTCTGTGTACTAGGGACAGTGGGCAGAGCAGTGGGGAGTGTCTGCTCAGGTCTCTTCCACCTGAGTGGAGGCTTCCGAAATAGAAGGGCCAGCCCCTGCCCTTCTGGCTTCACCATGCTGGTGGGTCCTTCATGGAGGCTTGATGATGTCCCAGCTGAGCTCCAAGCAGGCCCGGTCCCGGGCCTCTGGCCCCATACCCCAGAAAGGCAGCTCTGGGCACAGTCCTCTGTAGAACCGCCCTGCCATTCCGCAGCAATTGTGGGTGCTGGGTGGGGAAGCAAGCTAGAACTCAGCCTTGCACCTCTGGGTCGGCCTCGGCCCGAGCCCAGTGCTTCCTTGTGTGATGGTGATCCCCCACCTTGCCTGTCCTACAGCCTTGCTCAGGGCTTGCCCGCCATCTGAATGGTGAATAGTGCCAGTCCGGAAATGGCCCCCCACTAGCTGGGTGAAGGGAGAGGCTAGAACGGGGTGGTGGGAGGATGCCCCCTGGCGAGCTGTTCTGGGAAGGGCCTGAGAACCTTGACAGGACATCGGGAGGGTCAGTCCTCGTGTCCAGGACCTGCTGCTCTGCTGCTCCCAGACCCCTGCTTTCTGGCCGAGCCCTCAGGAAATACAACCTTCCCGTGGCCGCCTCTCCCCCAGGCACCAAGTTGGGGGGGGGGGCGGGTCAGAGGACAAGGGCTTGGTCAGATGGGGTGGCAGAGCCACTGTGGACAGTGAGAAGGGACAGAAGGTGGGGAAATGTGGGCTCGGCCCTGGCCACGACCTGGCGGGGGCGCTGTGGCGGAAGCCAAGCTGCTGCCATCTTGGGCTCAAGCCTGCGTTACACCCCCCCCCAGGCAGCTTCTCGACGTCCAGCATCCAGTCCAACAAATCCGTCTCCAATTCGACAGTGTCGGGTAGGGAGCCCTGGCGGAGTCTGGAGCCCCGATGTCTCCGTGCGGGGCAGACTTCGGGGAGCCCTCCTCTATGCTGGCCCGTGGGTCGGGGTGAAGGAGCCTTTGAAGGAACCGAGGCGGGCGGCACGAGAAGCCCTGTGCGCTGGACCCACCTTGAGGGGCGCGGGAGGGGAGGGACAGGTCCAGACCGGCGCGGGAGGCCTTGAGGTGGGTGGGGCTACGCGGGCGGGCGGGCTGGCGAGGGCCCGAGCGCAGCACGGGAAGCCCGGGACTAGAGCTGAGGGCGAGCTCGGCGGTCACTAGCAGGAGGCACGTGGGGGTAGCGTGGGGCTGGTCGGGCTGGTCCGGTCGTAGGCGGGCCCTGCGCGCCCTGTGCTCCCTGGGCCAGCAGGACGCTAGCTGACTGCAAAGCGAGCAAGGCCTGCGAAGCCGGCGGGAGGGCCCCTTCTCTCCGCTGCTTCCCCGGAGAGGGCGCCCCGCCCTTCCACGCAGGGCAGGCAGGCGGTGGGCCTCTCCCAAGGTCCCCGCGGGCTCTCTGGGTCCTGGGAGTAAACGCACCGGGGGGGCCCCCAGACCTCTCGTTCAGTTGCATTTTGACCAGAGTCGGGGGAACTGCATACGGGGCAGCTCCTTCTCACTACCTCCCTCACCTGGCGCTTGTGGAGACCCGCTGGCTCTACTTGGGGACTGCGGGCCGCCGCCCTCACCCTCAGATCCCGCTCACGCCTCCCAGCAGTCCACCAAAGGAGGCACAGCTACCACCTCTCCTTACAGAGGCGCCCTTGCCCTCTGATCTGGCCCCACCCCAGCGTACAGAGTCCCATCTGTACGAGGCAGGGGCAAGCACTCCTCCGGCACACACCCAGTCCTGGAGGGCATGACAGTGGCCTGACCACTCAGTGACGCCTCTGTTGGGTCTGACTTGCAGCCGTCTCTCAAGGCAAGGTCAGGACCCAGCCCAGCTCCTCCAAGAAGCAGGACTCGAAAGCAGATGTCCCCCAGAAGGCAGACTTGGAGGAGGAGCCCCTGAGCCCAGGCTTGCTGCACAGCGGCAAGCCGGACAAAGCCCCTGGTGTGGGGGTGCAGGGCCAGGCCAGGTGAGCCCCCCGGCACACTGGGCACAAGCCCTTTCCTTGGGTTCAGCCCTGGAATGAGCATATGGCTTGGCCCCCTTGCTTCTGGGTTCCTCTCAGCACTCTGAGGGCAAACTGACAGCCAGTTGGTCTGCCTTCCTCCCCTCCCCTGCTGTGCCCCAGAACCCAGAAGGGGGCCAGCAGCAGCCCTGAAACCATTTTCTTAGAAAAAGAAACAGTAATTTGACCTCCAAATGAGTTTGCTTTTTACCAAGAGAACAGTGAGTCGTTTCGGAAAACCCCTCTAGCAACCGTGTTTGGCCTGATTAGAACAGAGCAGGTTTAAGAGCGGTGGTGCCGCTGCTCCCTGACCCAGCAGGACAGAGCGGCTGTGCTCCGTGACACCCCAGCATTTCCGGACTTCTCTGGAAAGCAATGAGCTTGGCACTTTGCATTTCGAAAGGAGACCCTGTTCCCTAGGTAGTGCAACCAGCAGGACAGGCTCCTGCTTCTCTGCACACAGTCCTGATTCCCCACTAGGCTGGTCAGTGACCACACACTCCTCGAGCCACATCTGACCTGGAGAGGGAAGAAGGGGCAGGCCCAGGTCACAGCTGGCCCCAGAGACCCACTTGGTGCCCAGAGCACCATGGCTGGCTGGAGAAGGGAGGCTGTGTGGATGCCACCCTTCCCCACTGTCCCCACACTGGGGTAGGCGTGGCCCTGTTAGACCGATCTGGGGCTGCTGCAATGACTGTTTCAGAAACGAAGATGCAGAGGCCTTTAGTGTGGGGGCCGCCCCTGGGGCGGGCAGCCAATCCAAGGGCAGGCCGGTGGCCCCCTTGGTAAGCCTGCCCCCGCACCTGCGAAAGCCCACCACAGTGCAGCAGTGTGAGGTGGTCATCCGCCAACTGTGGAACGCCAACCTCCTGCAGGCCCAAGAGGTGAGGCCCGGGCGCGGGGGTGGGCTCCTGCCGCCGCGGGCCCCACACATCCCTTCTGCCTTTCAGTTGCAGCACCTCAAGTCCCTATTGGATGGGGAGCAGCAGCCTAGGGCCGCCCTCGAGGAGCCAGGACCCAGCTCACCCAAGTGAGTGCCTCTTGCCCGCCATCCCTCACCAGCAGTCCTGGCTGTGACTCATGGCCAACTGTCTCCTCCCGTAGGGACCAGGAGGCCACACAGTTCCCCAAGGTTGCCACCAAGGGCCTCTCTAAGAAATGGTGAGTCCCTGGCACCAGGAGGTCCTGGCAGGGTGGGCAGGTGCAGAGGCAGACCAGGCCATCGCCCATGGCAGCAGCTCAGTCAGGGCTGGCCTGGCCCTGCAGTGACCCTCCTCTGCCCCCCAGTCTGATCCTGAGCTCTGTGCCCGTCACGGAGAGGGCCATCCTGCCCGCCCTGAAGCAGAGCCTGAAGAGCAACTTTGCTGAGCGGCAGAAGCGGCTGCAGGTGGTACAGAGCCGGCGCCTGCACCGCTCGGTGCTTTGACCCCGGCCGCCGCTGGGGATCCTGTGGCAAGAAACCAGCCCCCTATAGCGCTCCAGAGAACCCTGATACTTTAAGGCAAGCTGAATTCTGAGATAAAACTCTCTAAAGTACTTGACCTGAGTTAAGAAACTTTTTCTTGCTCAGATTTTACTTTCCTGCATTTGCACAAAAGCGCATTATGAAATAAGTAGGACCCAACCCACTGGAGACAGAAAATAAAACTTGTTTAAATCCCTTGTCTCATTCCTCACTGTCCCCGGCTCTGCTCCTGGGAATCCACAAGGAGCCTACTGGGCAGTTCAGTCTGGCTCATCTTGACTTCAGTGGACTCAGCAGCCGTGGAAGAGGGGCGCGCAGGCAAAGCCACTCCGTCCTCTGGGAGCCAGAAGCATCCACGTGGAACTGGTGTGATGTGGGGGACCCTGGCAGGACCGGGGGCTGCCTTCCAGGTTTCTGGCCTTGTGCTGTCCTGCCTTGGCTGGGAAGTACTGCTCAATGGCTCACCTGGCTGAGCCCTGTCTGTCCGCTTCAGAGGACCACTGCCAAGGGAGTCCCATCCTTTCTGGGGCCTGGACTTTTCTAAGCTGGGTCTCCCACCCTCGACATCATGTGTCCAAGGCTCACGCCACCCCTCACTTGCCATCCTGGATGGCAGCTACTTCTGCTCCCTGGGGATGGCCAGTTTAGTACTGACTCTGCCCTGGCCAGTCCTCCCCACACTGCCTACCTACCTCCTCAGTGTTCATTTCAGTGTCTCCTTCAGGGCAGGAATTCTGCCTGGAGAGCTGGGTCAGACGGGCAGGAACTGGGGCATCCAGGGCCAGACTGTCACCAACACTGATGGAACAGGGCAGGGAGCCCAAGACTCATCGAGGGAGCGCAGTAACAGATTCATGACAAGCACAGGAGTAATAAATTTATTATAAGAACCACAGATGACATAATAGTGCACATATAAAAGGTGGACTCCTCTTGTCCTGAGGCCGGCTGACTGGCTGATGCCCAGGGTGGCCTGGCGGCATGTGCAGGTGGTACACAGAGATGGTGTATGGCTTTGGGGCAGGCCTGGAGGACAGCACCTGCCCAGCCTCAGTGTGGCTTTGCCCTGGAACAGGCTCTGGGGGGGTGGCTGCATCACAGCTGCCAGGGTAGTCACGCTCCATCCTTCACAGCTGGGCCTTGATGCCTCGACCCAACTTGTGGGCACTTGTGGGATGCCCGGGACAGTGGTGTGGAGGGTAGGTGCCCAGAGGTGAGGCCAGGCCATTCCTCCAAGGTGAAGCCTGCTCCTCAGGAACCCACTGCCCCTGTGATGTGTCCCACATCCCAAAGGTGATGTCATCTGTCTAAACCCAGAGCTCCGTGTTGTTTCCTATGCTCTCCATGTTCTCTTGCAGAAGCAGGTGGAACCATATCCTAGGATGCACATGATGCTCTAACAGGACCCTGAGTTCTGCGCTCATGCACTCAGTGGATGTGGCATTGGCGAGGACTGGGGTGCGTGCCAGATGAGCGCAAGAGGGGCAGCGTGGGGAGTGGTGGGTGAGAGAAGTGCTGGACCCCAGATGAAGTCTACATGGAGAGACTTCTTTAGGAATAGACAGCCAGCCCTTCCTGGCTCAGTCAGCTCCACAGCCACTTGTCGGAGGACTATCTGAGTGTGGGAAAAGGTCTGGCAGGTCCCAAGGCAGAAGATAAAAGCAGGAAAGCTAACCAAACCCAGGCTCTCTAAGGAACCAACAACACCTAGAAACGTCCAGCACGAGACTGCATCTCCAGCAGTCTCCAGCAGGGTGCTGCTATGCGTTCGATAGGCAGGCCTGGTGGACGCTCTGCGCCCAGGTGTTGAGCAGGGCTGTGACTGAGTGCTTGTCAGGGAGCTGCAGCAGCCGTGAGGTCATGCACCGATACACCGACTGCAGGAAGGGGTTGGCGTCTGCAAGAGAGCAGGGGGCTGTGAGCACAGCACCCTCCTCAGGGCACCCAGCCTCTGTTCTCGGCCCCCAGAGCCACTGAACACCAGGCTGTTGACTGCCCCACACCGAGGGAGCGGTGGTGAGTGGTGCCCACTGGCAGCCAGGCCAGGACCACGCCAGCAGTCAAAGACATGGGACTTGGACCCCACTCTGGAGCCCATGGCTTTCCCTTGAACATCCTCGGGGTCCTTATCCTGACCCCCAAAGTGCCAGCTCTGAGCCTCAGGGGGACCATCCCCCATTAATGGGTTCTCTCCAGAGCCTCTGGCTGGCAGTCATGTCATCCAATGGGTCCCCATGAGCCCAAGCTCCTACGGCCAGAGGCCTTGCGTGTACCTCACGTCAGCCCTGCAGAAGTCATAGCGGCCCCCAGGAGCAGGCAGGCCTGTTCTCAAGCTGTGGCTCCCACACCCTTCACCCACACAGCTCAGTACAAGGCGAAGGGACACTCGGGGGCAGAGGCTCCCTCTTCACACAGCTGCAGAGCAGCCACAGCTCTGTGCAGGGGGTGCGGGGGATACACAGGCATGGCCCTGTACACAGGAGACTCTGGCACCTGGAGCTGCACACCCACCCTTGCCGTGTACCCACCGTACTGCCACTGCTGGTCGACCCAGAGTGGGCTCTGGGCAGGGTAGTCTGCGGGCACGCTGAGTTCCAGTGGCGGCACACTTGGGAGGTCCCTGTCATCTACAACACATGAGGATGCACCTGTGACCGGCTGCAAGCTCCACCTGCCCCAGGACTGCACCTTTGAGGGCTCTTTCTGCCCAGGTTCCCCCAACTGAGATGTTGCACTCTCAGGTCCCAAACACAGGGTTGGGGGTGCCCTACAGTGTCTGCCCCTACCCTCCAGGCCAGCAGGACATCATTTCTACCAGAATTAAGAGTGTGTTTGGATCTAGGAGCGATGGCAGAGTTGGTAGCTGGCAGGGCGCCCTGAGCACAGGGAGGCTCCTGGGAGGCCTGCAGGCCTGGGGGTGGGCCTTAGGGTGTCGTGTGAGGGCGGGGCCTGTGGGGGTGGGGTCTGCGGGTGGCCAGTGAGTGCTGGGCCGAGGATGTGAGGAGCAGACCCATGCCAGCCCCAGGCACAGTCCTCACCCAGCTTGCAGATCAGGTGGACAGTGCCATTATTGCTGCAGTGAGAAGGGTCCAAGTTCACCAGAAACTTGGAGTCCAACCGGGCCACCTCCCCCTGGAGCACATTGGGGATGCTCTGTCGCTCGTCGTCCTCAAATTTACGCTTCCGGGTACACACCGCAGGGACCCTGGAAGGAGGTGCGTGGTGAGCAGGGGCCAGGCCGAGGCCACCCCCTGCAGGCCAAGCGTACGTACGTGATGGGTGGGCCATGGATGGCCGCCATGGGCGGCATGAACGTGCGGTACAGGGAGTGGTTGAAGACTGGTGAGCGAATGTTGGCCAGGACGGCATCCAGGAGGGGCTGGCACAGGTACTGCTGCTTGGTTGGTGGCACTGGGGGCGGCGGGGGTGTGGGCTGAGGACAGGGCAGGCGTGTCAGACAGCTGGGGCTCACAGCACCCCAGGAATGCTGTCCAGGCCCCCGGTCTCATCTTCCTTGTCCACAGAGCTTGAGTCACAGGCCCCCTCCCCTCCTCACAGCCCCCATACCCACCACCCCTATCAGACCTGACCTGGGCTGAGGCCATCTCCCACTGTGGTCTGCCTGTCCCACCTCCCTGTGACTGAAGGCCCCTCACAACTTCTGTTTCCAAGCCCTGCCAACCTCCCTTGAGGCCCCCGGCCCTCACAGGGTCCTCTACTCACCACGGCCATGTCGTTCTTGAGCTTCTCCAGGGCGATCTCACACTTCTGCAGTGTTTTCAAGGGACACCTGCAGGGGAAGTGTGTGGCCATCCATTAGTGCGGGAGAGCTGGAGGGAGCTGGTTACAGATGGCCATGGTATCTCCATAGGAAACGCTTGGCAAGGCACCATGCTGACCCCAGGCCCACCAAGTCTAGGTGATGCAGCCCTGCCCCCAAAGCTAACCTTTATCTGGTCAGCAGAGATCAGGCAGTGGAGTGGATCCAGGGAAGGGCAGAGGCCCTACCCAGGGCCAGGACAACTGCTCTCATCTAGGCTGGCCCTGCCCGCCCCTCAGCCCCACAGGTCAAACGAAGATCAATCCCAGAGGTCCTGGAGGTTGTCCAGCTCTGAGGGTCCCAGTTCAGCACTAACTGGCATTCTTCCCAAATCAGCAGAAAAGGGAGAACCTTCTAGAAGGGGCACCCAGCCTGTGCCAAGTAACACAAAGGCTCACCCCATGCCCAGGGGGGCCCCCACCTATTTCCAAAGAAAGCGAAACAGACTCCGGGGCCCGAGTGTGCAGTGTCAAGAACCTGGCACCTCCCTGCGTTCCGAATGTTTCATTTCACACTGAACGTGTGGGCTCCAGCTGTCACTTTGCAGACGAGGTGACTGAGACTCAGAAACATCAAGTCACTTGCCCAACATCACCGCCAAGTCAAGGCAGAGCTGAAGGTCAGACAGACTCACCACAGGGATGGGTAAAATGACACCAGCCAGATCTGCTGAGGGCAACGGTGAGGGGCTGTGGGGTCCATAGCACGGACCCAGAAGAGTGTGGAGTGGGTGCCAGCAAAGGTGCAGCCCAGGCTTTCAAAGGGAGTGGTGCTGCAGCCCCAGCAGATATACCCATGGGAGCCCCTGGCCGGGGCCCTATGAGCTGCCCTGGCCCCTTCTCTAAACGCACGTTGAACCACAAGCCTGTCTGAGGCCAAGGCCACTGTCCCATGGGTGCAACTGCCTGACCACAGCAGGCATGCCCAACTTGAGCAGGGCTGGTCATCCAGGGAGCACATGGCCAACGCTCTCATCCTGGCTGCAGCAGCCCCTCCCGATGGGCCGGGCCCACCACACAATCAGGGACCCTCCACAATGGTGGGCGCCAAGCTTACCGCTTGGAGGGGTCTGTCAGGATGTCCAGAAGACTCTTCATCTTACTCAGGTCCTTTTTTCTGTCTGAGACAGAGAAGGGACACTCAGACCCTGCCCTGGTGCCTACGGCCCAACCCCCCGGGCCAGCCCGCACCTTCGTTCTTGTCGATCTTGTTGATCATGCGGCGCAAGGGCTCAATATACTTGGACAGCTGCTTTAGCTTGTCTAGGTACTGCTGTTCCTCAGCCTGGCTGGAGCCAGCAGGACTCATGACTGAGCTGGGGTTCACTGCACGGACACAGCTGTGAGGGAAGGCTGGCCACCCGCCCGGCTCTGCAAACACTCAAGGTCACGTGCTTGGGTGGTGAGCAGCTCAGCTGGGCACCTGCGGCTCCATGCAGGGATGTGTATGGGGATAGCCCTCCCAGCCCTCACACCCAGCTCCCTGCATGCCCCTGGCCCGACTTACCTGGGGTGTTTAGAGGTCCAGGTGAAGGGACGCTGAAGTTCTGAGGGGTGCGTGCAGTGACTGGGCTCTGGGAAGGCTGAGGTGAGGGGCTGGGCAGGAAACTACTGGGGGATGGGGCAGGGCCGGAGCTGCGACAAAGAAGGAGACGTGTCGGGGGTGGGCGGAGGGCAGCGCACCCTGTGGGTGGGCGGCACCCGGCCTACCTGACGTTGGAGTTGGGCTGCGAGCTAGGCTGGCCAGGCTGTGGAGATGGCTGGGGAGGCGGGGGCATTGACTGGGGGGTTGGCACCTGCTGGCCCGGTGACGGCGAGGACAGCATGGGGAGGCTGCTCTGGCTGACCTGGGAGCAGAGGGCGGACTCAGCTACGCTGTTGACGTTTGCACCCACCCCACCCGCCCACTGCAGCGTGTCCATCATTCAGGCTCACTGCCCTGCTCCCACTGCCCCCCATCCCACTCTCACGTGCTCACCCACATGTTGCTGTCTCACAAATACAAACACACACACACTCCTCACAACACCCCTTTCCCTCTGCCCCCATGGGCAGATGCACACACGCAGTGTGTGGCTCCCTACTGTGCACCCCTCTACCGCCATACCAGACACTAAGCCCTCACTGCCCCGGCACAAACCATTTCCCTGCAGCTCACACCAATCACCGCCCGAGGAAGGGCAGAGAAAACCCCCCTTCGTCAACCAACCAAGGCACTGGCAGAAAGACCAGCCCTGTCTGTCCCGCATGGAGGACACGGCGGCCAGAGAAGGCCCAGAACCCCTGCTCTGTGGGCCAGGGAGGTCTGGCCTCATGAGGAAGTGGCCACCTCCTCCCCCATCTGCTGGTAGGCAGGCCCATCTTCCTGTATGGTTCCATGAGCCCAGCCCACCCTACCCCCCAGCCACAGCTGCCTTGGTTCTGTCGAGGACAAGCCCAGCTGGAAGACCCATCTGCCCTGACACCTGCAGGTGACTCTGACCCTGCTGACCAGATGCAGGGGAGCAGGAAGACTTGTCTTCACCGGGTCCCATGAGGGTCTGCATGCACACTCACAGGTGGTGGCGCCAGCCCCAGGCTCCTCCAGCCACCCACTCTGGGTCTGAGAGGGGAGGGACTCTCGTCAGACGCTGCCACCCACTCTGGGCCTGAGAGGGGAGGGACTCTCGTCAGATGCTGGACTCCAATCAAGGTCCTGCCACTCATGGTTCTTAACCTGAATTCTCTCAACGCCGTTTCCCTGGCTGCAAAGTAGGGGCTGCTTGCTCTCTGTCCCCACAGTGCTTGTAGGAGGCACAGGCACCTATGTACCTGTCATCACTAGGGACACCACCACTGCTTGCTCATGAGCTCTACGGACGAAACCACACCGCCCAGGAGTCGGGAACAAGTCTCTGAAATAACCGTGTCTCCCAAGTGCAGTCAATGGTGATTCCGAGGGTCAGACCCGAGGACTGAGGAGAGATCTGCCAGCCATGAGCATTCCTCTCCTAGGACGACCCTCACCCATGCCCCTCCCCTGACTGACCAGGTTCTACAGACCGACCGAGGTGTGTTCCCTCAGCACTTTGACACTGGTGCCCCCAGGAACACGCCTCCCACCTCCCCACTCTCCCCGAACAGGTTCTAGAGCATTGGGTCAGACTTGCTCGCGAGTGGCGCTGCTTTCTTGCCTCGGGAACCAGGGAACAGGAAGGAACATCTGGAAATGGGAGGCACGTCCTCGTGCCTGATCCTAGCCCACCAGCCTCTCTCTTAGGACCGCGTCGTCCAAGCTCACTCATGACTGACTTTCTGCTCCTGTGCGTTGCCCCCCTCCCACCCCCAACTCTGAGTCTCCAGATGGAGCCGAACGGAATGCTGGGGTAGAGGCTGCCAGGGGACCAGTCCCGTGGAGGGGTGTGGATGTCACCCACCATCATGATGCTTCTCTCCTGATAGTTCCCTCACGCCCCGGTCTGCAGCTTTGACTTTGATCAGCACCTTGTGGGCTGGACAGTCCAGAGGGAGCCCCATCCTCTCCCAGTCTGACAGTGCCCAGTGGTCCCCAGATGTGCCTAAGCACATGGGTCCACCTTGGCTCCTGGCTGTCCCAGGCCATATGCTAAGAAGGCACAGAGCAGGGCGCTGTGGCCAGCAGACCCCAGAGGCTGAGAGGCAGGTTACGGATTTCCAGTGGGAAAAAAAACAAACAAACCAAAGCTGCCCTTTCATCTCCCAAAGGAGGAAACCAAGACCCGGAGAGGCTGCAGGGGCTCTGCGCTGGCTGCCTGAAGCTGCTAGGCTCCCCCCACCCCAAGTTGCTAAAACATGCCACAGGGCAGGAGGCAGCCACCAAAGATCCATCTCAGGAAAGAACTGGCCTAGCCAGGTGGATCAAGTGAGAAGAAGCCTCCCGTTCTTCCTTTAGGTGGACAAGAGATCTGGCCAGGCCTCTGTAGCACAGAAGAGCAAGGGTTTAATGGTCTCTTCAGTCTGGTATGAGAGAGTCTCCTGAGGGGCAGCCTTTCACAAGCACAGACAAAGCACCAAATTAATACTGCTCCTCCTCCCGGGAAGGCTTCCTGCCGCCAGCCAGCGCCTGACACACCATCGTCACCACATTTGGAGGGGAAGACGGAAGCTCAGAGTGGGAAGGGACTTAGTCAAGGACACGTGCTGTGGGGGAGCGCCGGATGTGCTCAGTGCAAACGCCTCAGCAACTCCCGCAATACCTGCTTTTCTAGGAGCAAGACGACCTCGCACCACAGCCCAGAGGGCCTGCTGAGGACCCATGTGTGGACTCAGCCACTAGGGAGGCTGCGGCGGCTGTGCAGAGGGTGGAATGAAGACTTTTGAGGGCCATGGTGGAGGGCAACCCCTTCAAGGAGTGGGGACCCAGAAGACAATTTAAGTGTAGAGAACAAGCAAAGGGCAGCAAGGGAGGGGAGCTGGGGCACCGGGGACAGACTGGGGCAGAAGACCAGAGGCTGGTCTCAGGAGCGCTCGTCTAAGAAGAAACCTCTGGAAAGGCTGGTGTTACCACACACTCTGGCCCTCCCTGGACCACTCGCCCACCTGACACATTGGGAGCTACTCTGCACTCATCCGTACCACCACCCGGAGTCCAGCACCCTTGTGCCCCTGGCCCCTTGCTCTGCATGTCTCCTGCCTCCACTTGAGGCCCTGGTGCACACCTCCAAAGTGCAGCAGACAAAGACCCACCTGCTTACACCCTCCAGGGAGTGCAGCCCACCCTACGTGCTCAGCCACGGCCTGCATAGGCCCCGCCTGCACTGACTTGGGCCACCTGCCTCACCACCCCCAACAGAGTGCTCCTGTCATCTCGGTGCACTACCCACGCCCACCTGAGGCCTTCGTGCAGGCCTGTGTGCACTAGTGCAGTTGTCTCCATCTCCCACAGCAGTACAGGTTCTGAGGCACGCACTGTGTGGTCTTGCTCCCCCAGCAGCCCAACCCACCCACAGGAAGTGGGGACTTGATGCCACTGTGGGGTGGGCAATGAGATTGTGGTGTCGGAGGGCAGCGCTGCAGGTTCTCCCTAAGCACCTTCATTTGTGGTCCGACATGAGGCCCACTGGGTGAGCAAGACCTCCTGGTCCTGGCACAGGAGCTGGGATGAAGGGTCCCAAGGCAGGGCACATTCAGGGGCCAGGCCTGGGCCCTGAGGAAGCGCAGGGAAGAAGCACCAGGGTCCCAGGGTGTGAGGCAGGCACAGAAAACAAACAGGCAGCATGTGTCAATTCAGGAAGAGGGTTGGCCTGGGGCTCAAGGCCGGAGGAGAAAGTCTCTGAGTCTGGCCAGGCCCTTGCCTCTGCATGTGTAAGTGTGTATGTATGCAGAAGTAGACGGGGGCAAAGAATGGAGTTCAGGTCCCAAACCTAAGACTGAAAGCACTTGGTTTGTTCTGTTTTCTCATGAACTGAAATGTTTGAGAAAAGCAAATTTCAAAAAATTTACAAAAAAATACATCACTTATGAGCAGTATTGTGTAAAAACCACACGTTGTTGAGCAACCAACTCTTACTGCTTCTCGGGGCCCAAGTGACAGCCTCTTCCCTCATCACACCCGTGCTGCGCACCCTCGGTCACATCGGTGGGTCCGTGAGAGCCACCACCTCACGTAGGCGCAGCCGAGTGATAAGATACAGGAATAAAGGTTGAAGGGAGCTGGGTGGAGACCTGGGGATGTAGGGACCACTCAGGGGCCTGGTGTGAGGAGGGTGGGGTGCAAGGGGGAAGGCCCCCATGGGAAGGTAGGGGCGGCAGCGGAGTCCTGCACTCCAGAATACCCCTCCACCTGTTTTATTCCTTCTCTGACCACTGTCAGGGTCTCCTCTCTCCCAACAAGCACGAGTAAGCCTGCTTTAAAAATTCATTCCCCTTTCCAGAAACTCTCCGACTTCAGTCTCCTGCCGGGACAAGGAGTAGTTCCTAAACGCCGCCAAACCTGTACTGCACTTGCCAGCCCTAAGCTTCACGGTGCACCTGGCACTGACAGTGGAACCTAGTGAACAAGCCCATGGGCAGGGGGCTGGCTGCTTCTAGAGATGCCTCTGTCACATACCCCATGAAATGTGACACAGGCGACCCAATTTTCCATAGCATGTATTTCAGGCACTAACTTTATTTTGGCTTCATCTTATTTTTCCTATCTTTCTTCCCCTCCATCTAACTCCCTTGCCTTATTTCTGGGTGGGCGTTACTACAGATAGTAACACACAATCCATATAACCTGGGGCTGGCTGGATGTGACGAGAGGCAGGAAGGAGGGACGGAGAGACTTAGCGAGTCGACGGGCCGTGGGGGTTTTCCAGTCTCAGTGTGAGGTGCCTGTGAGAAACCCAGGGGGATGTCAGCAGTCAGCAGCAGGGTGTGGGGGAAGGGAAGGAAGGACACAGGAGAGTCAAGCACCATGAGGCCCAGAGCAGAGGCCGGGCGCCACGGGGGTCAGACAATGTTGGTGGTGGGGCACCGAGGAGTGGGGAGGGTTGGCCAGGAGGAGGAACAAAGTCATCAACACTGCAGGGAGACTGAGTTTCCAAAAGGGCGCTGGGACTCGGGACCCTGCTGAGAGGCCAAGGTGGGGGGCAGAGATGGACGACCCTGGGCGAGGTTTGGGTATAACTATCCAAAACACTAAAGTACTTGAAAAGATACTTAGCTCCCATCTTCTGCAGAAAATGATAACATTAGAACTCTCCAAAATACTAAGCTGAAAAATAAAAAACATATTTTGCTCATATCCCCTCAAGAAATATACTCTGGGTTTTGCCTCATTAAATAAAAGAACGGTGAAACCTGGCTTGGCACCCTGCCAGCAGTTGTAAACACAAGTCCTTGTGATTACAGCGGTGTGTGGGAAGGAGGGTAAGTCACCCCTCTGCTTCTTGAGGGCCTCGGCATGTGCTGCCTGCAGGGGTGCAGGGCGCCGATGGTAAATACCTGAGCCGGGGGCTGTCCGCCCGTGGGAAGGGCGCCTGGTGGTGCGGCCGACACAGCGGTGGAGGGTGGGAACCGGGCTCTTACTTGCATCCCGCCTTGGGCCATGGCTGCGGTGATCATCTTTGGGGACAGAGGGACAACAGACAAAGTAATCGCAACACAGAAATGCAGTGCACGGGCAGGGTGAAGCGCAGCGTGTGCACTTCTGGGACCCGGTGCCCATGGCGAGGCACCTCTGAGGGTGGCGGATATGGGTGGACAGGGAGAAGTGGTGAGGTGTGCCCCTACATGTCAAAACCCTCAGCATTTGGAGGCCTGTCTAGGCAGTAGGAATCTAGAACAACCCCAAGAATGCTGCCTCCAGACAGTTCTAGGAGTGCATGCCTTTGTGTGTCATCCTGAACAGACCTCTGATCGCTGGTGAACCCACAGGAGCAGTGGTCAGAATCAAGGGTGGGTTTGTGGGAGAGCAGGCTACTGGGGACAGACTTCAAAAGCATGATCACATTCCACCAAATCTGCTACAAGGAAGAGTTCTCCGTGACTAATGCAAAAAGCCCACCTGCAGCAGCCCCCCGCGACACTGTTTCCTCTCCACAGTCGGCCACCAGAGGAGAACAATTCTGGGGACCTGCACTCAGCCTGTCCCTCATCACCTCCGGGCCTCTCTGAGACTCCTGGTTCTGGAATATACTGAGAAAATGGGTCTTTTAATACGAAACCAAGGGGGAAAGGTGGGAGGGAGAAGCATGGGACCTGCTTGGGGGACATGGGGTAGAGTTTATGTGAAAGCTCCCTCCAAAAGAATGGGCAGATTTGTTCTTAAACACACCAGATGATCACGGGCTCCAGATTCCATTGAGGACTGGGACTGCACCCCTATGAACGTGCGCTTCTTGAAATATAAAGGCAACGTGGTAATCTTGTTGTAGCCACGGGTCCTGGCCTGGCTTGCACTCATGGGAACTCAAATGGGGTTCCTGAGGCCCCACCACCCTCACTGTGGGCCCTGGGTTAGTGGGATGGAGGCCTCGCCTGGTCCCTGGAGGGCAGGGCCTGCACGCGTATCAGTGCTAGTAACACGGCCAAGCTCAGAAGAAAAGCGGGATGGCACCGTAGAACAGAGCACACCAGCTCTGAGAGGCTGTAGCTGGTGCGCAGGGAACGGGATCCATGGCAGGAGAGCAGCCTGTGGGGAGCGCCCGCATCGCACGTGCCCCACACGCACACCGTGGGCCACATGCAGCAGGCTCCATGAGCCGGGTGGCGTGAGCACAGGCAGAGGCCAGCCAGAGCTGCGTGGCAGCTGCAGGAGTGGGGCTGCGGAGGGGACATTCCTGCAGCCAGCCCTGGACAAACGAACTTCCCGTGGGAGGAGGGCAGGGGCTGAGGAAGTGATGCCCCTGGTGTCTGCCAAAATGCGGGCGTGATCCTGCTGGGCCCACCACCCACTCCCCTGCAAATCAGACTTAGAAGTGGGATAAGGACTGAGGGCTCAGAGTGTCCTTAGGGCTTGAGGAGGGTCAGTCCCCGCCAGAGGCCCTGCCCTGATGGTGTGGCCAGACGTGGCTCTCTCGATCTTGGCCACAGCAGTATGGGGGGCGTGAGGGCACTGGGGTAATGGTGTCACCCCATTTACAAGTGGCTGGCTGCCCTCAGCAGAAGACATCCGAGAGGGTAGCACCAGCAACAGCACCCCTTCCAGAGAAGAAGAAGAGGCATTGAAGTAAGGTTGGTGGCATGAGAAGGCACAAACTTTTTTCCCAGGAAGAAAAAAAGCATCATGGAAAGAAAAGCTCAAATCTTATTTACTACTGTTTCTCTTATAACTGAGAAATGCTAATACAGAAACCTCATTTTCTTTTAACGTGAGGTACAACGAAAACACACCAGTCATGTTACTGAGCTGGAAAAGCAGGCTGCCAACCAACAGAACCTTGTTCTGAAGAGACGCTAGCTACACTGCATAACTTGCCAACACGTGTCCACCCAGAGAAAACCTCAGCACACGTGCCTGCAGGCTGCTGGTCTGCCCTGCCTCTGTGCAGCAGGGCGCTGGCCTTGGAGGCCCTCCCCGGACCGACTCAAGCTCCACCGGAGAGCAGCCGTACCACAGCTAGGCAACACGCATGCCTACGACGGACATGGCTGTGAAGACAATTCTCTGTATCTCATGCATTATAGTTTCCATACTGCCAAAAATCATGGTTACTTAAAAAAAAAAAAAAAAAAAAAGGTTAAAAAAACAAAAAACCCAGAGGGATTGTTTGCAAATGGAGACATCCCTTTCTGCTTTTCTCCTTCTGTGTGTGTGGTCACAGAGAGAGTTCAGGGAAGAACCAGAAGTCAGTGTAGCTAAAAGCAGATTCCTGGAGCCCTGGTGGCACAGTGGTTAAGAGCTTGGCTGCTAACCAAAAGGTTGGCAGTTCAAATCCACCAGCCACTCCTTGGAAACCCTATCGGGCAGTTCTACTCTGTCCTACATAGGGTCACCGTGAGTCAAAACTGACTTGAAGGCACCTGACAAAAACAACAAAGCCCCTCCTCCCAGGGCAGTGTCATCAGGCATCATCCTCAGCCATCTGACAAACAGCTGGGTGAGAGCCACACACACGTGCCGCAGGGCTGCCTGGGTTTCCTATTGCACACAGGGCCTTGGGGCTGCAGTCCTGGCAGAGGCTCCCTGGGCCCCTCTAGCACGCTCCAAGATGGCAGCTGGTCAACCTTCTCGAAAGACAAGGCCACGGGAGCACCTCAAACCCAGTATTTGTTTGATGAAACAAGCCTGCTCTGCGGAGTTCTTGCGGCAGTTCACTGGTCTTTGTGGAGCTGCAACAGGTGGTGAGTAGATGTCTGCTGTGGACACCACATAGGAAGCTCTGCATCTCTGGACCCTAGTTAAACTACTGGCTGATAGGATTCAAGGGCTCTAAATGTGTTTTTGCCGTCTGACCCAGTAACTTACGTCGGGAGACAACCCAAAAGTCAGCCATGGATCAAAATAGGAATCACATCACTTTTAGTAGAAAAATCTCAAGATCCCAGAACAAGACAGTAATGAGGGACAGTGCGATACATTCATAGGAGAAAAATCACACAACCATTCAAGTAACATTTACCAACAGTTCTTAATTCATAAGAGCATTTTACTTCCACATGTGAAAAAAGCCAAATATAAAATCCTATGTGCAGCATGGCTTCAATGTGGAAGAGAACTAGAAAGAAAACACCAAAATGTTTCTCCCTTGCTTATACTTCCTCAAGGAGCCCTGGTGGCGCAGTGGTTAAAGCACTTGGCTGCTAACTGGAAGGTCGGCTGTTCGAGATCACCAGCAGCTCAGCAGGAGAAAGATGTGGAAGTCTGCTTCCATAAAGACTTACAGCCTTGGAAACCCTATGGGGCAGTTCTACTCTGTCCTATCGGGCCGCTATGAGTCGGAATTGACTTGATGGTAGCAAGTTTTTTTTTTTTTTTTAAAGGAGCCCTGGAGGTACAACGTTTAAAGCTGCTAACCGAAAGGCCAGCGATTGAAACCTACAAGCGGCTCTGTAGCAGAAAAGACCTCACGATCTGCTCCCTTAAAGTTTACAGCCTAGAAAACCTTATGGGGCAGTTCTACTCTGTCCTACAGGGTGGCTATGACTCAACGGCACACAACAACATACTTGTCTTATTTATTTACACGTCTCTCAACTTTCTAACCTTACACAGTCACCACATAAGAACTTTCAAATAAGAGCATCTGCAGCCTTGTTATGTCCACTGTACCAACCCAGGTCTCCAAAGAAGGCTGCGAATCCGAAGATCCTGCCTCAGGAAGGCTGGTCACACCCAAGTCACTCCCTGGGACCCCGTTGTTACTAGAACACTGACGAGAGGTTGGCCACCCTCCATGAAGCTGCACTGGCTGCAGAGGCAAGACCAAGAGCAGCAGCCAGAAGTGGCAAAGTAAAGAAGCTTAGAGCACTGCGTCCGGTCTAAAAGCACAACACAAATGCGAACTGCACACCCGCAGTCTTCTGCTTCTCCTGCTGCTGCGTGAACGACGTCCCTGCTTTTCCCACTGGAGCTGGAGCACAGATGGCCCTGGTGACAGGTGAGGAGGCTCGGGAGGAGGCAAGGACAGTGGCTCCTGCTGGCAGCCAGTCACCAGGTACTGCGCTGTGCAGCTCTCAACACGCACCACCACCTCTCAGTACCTGAGAGGAGGTCCTCGCCACAAGACCGAGGACCTGGAGGGAGAGCCTGTGTGAGCAACTTGCCCCAGAGCATGCAGCTGGTGGTGGCAGAGACGGAGTCCAACTTCCGCACCAGGGCTGCAGCCTCCCCCAGCTGCAAGCATGGAGTTCGCAGTACAGTTCACGCAAGACCATGTCTGAGCCAGTGGGGACGAGGTGGCCCTGGTTCCGGGTTACTTAGCCCAGTGACGATGGAGGCTGCTCGGTGTGCTCAGTGGTACCCAAACACTTCTGATTCCCTCGGATGGCACTCTCCTCCTCAGGCAGCTACTCAGGGACTTGGACAACATAGCTGGGACCGGAAGGACTGTCACAGATCCCCACTCCCACACTGGAAACTGATGTCTGACACAAACGTGAACGCACCACCTCCCAGACGTACAACGACCTGAGGCGCCGAGCCGCTGACACTGCAGCAGGCACACAGTGAACGAGGAGGGTGCAGGGATGCCACTGACACTGCTTGTCAGGCTAGGCCCAGAAACCTTCTCATCACATGAGCAAACACAGTCTGACTCCGAAAACCAACGTTCTGCTTTTGAATTGGGACTATCAGTGCTTCCACCACTGGATGGAGACAGGAAGAACGAGGTCCCAGACTGGAAGATTCTCTCCTCACCACCAGGGGTGATGGGGACCTTAAAGCGATGTGGCCTGACTCTCCAACTTCTAGAAAGGAACTAGGATTGGGCCTCCTCACAAGAAGTCCCTAGAATAGTCCCATCTACACCTGATATGACCCAGTGGAGCGGGCGCACATACTCCTCACCCCACAAGGCCTACGCACCACACGCAGGCCAGGTCCTATGTGCAGGGCAAGCCTGTCAGCCGAGTGGGAAGAAGGGAGGCAGAGGAGCTGCTGCTCTTCCTGCTCCCACCAGAGCAGGCAAAGGCGAAGGCAGCCCTCTGGCCCACTGTGTGGTGTCTCTGGGGCCGGCCCAGTCTCCAGGAGACACGGCTGCTCTCAGCCTCTCCTCGACTTCTAGAGCTGCTCTCCACCTCGAGCACAGCCCTGATCTTGGAGACTGAGACAGAAGCCAACATTGAACGTGCTGAGCTCTCCCCTCTCTCAAATCCATGTACTGTCACTCAGCATGGGAGTGGAAGGGATAATGAAAGAAGAAGCAAAAGAAAGGAGGAAATGCCTGTGGATGATGCAGCTGCTGTGGCCCCAGGCCCTGCCTGAGGAGAGCTGACCACTCCAGGACCCGGGGCCAACTCCTAGGGGAGTTCTCATCCTAAAGAGCACGAGGGGGGAGATGGGCTTCAAAATCCAACCAGGACCCCTGAGCTGCAGTGCTACCTGAAATCCCACTCCATGTGTATGTGGATATGCACCTGCTAGGGAGCTATGAGACCCCATGGCTCTAGGGCCCTCACCTGGACTCCGGAAGCTACCATCTGGGCGGCTTGAGGTGTCTGTACTGCTGTTTGCTGCTGTACCTGCGGCTGCACCTGCGGCTGTACCTGTGGCTGCTGCACCACCATCGGCGCTCGGACCTTGAGTGGGGGAAGAAGACTTGTTGAGGAGCCACCCAGGGCAGAGGGCAGAGCACCCACTATCTCTGTGGAAGTTTTTAACCTCAAAGTGTTTCCTGAGATGGAAGACAGGATTCTCACGACGTCACTGGCTACGATGCAGCTTCCTCTCCAACCCACAGTCCACAAGTTCATCAGAATGTCCCACCCCAGCCTGCTCGAGACGGCATGGTCCAGCCCCACTGTTCCCCACTCTGGCGAGAAGTAGCACTGTTCCCACTGGGACATCTGCATATGCCCATCACCACCAGCGACCACCACAAGAGGCAACTGCTTCCCTTGTGGACAGCACAGCCCAGCTCACTCAGCTCTGGAGCAGCACGCCAATGGCCACGAGTGCTGGTGCTGAGCCCTGGACTCCTCGAAGGAGGAACAGCCAGAAAGGTGAGCATGGGCCACAGAGCCTGGAGGACAAGCAGGGTAGCTGTGGAACCACCAGGTAGAGAAGCCTCCAGAGGGGTGGCCCCTTCCTTGGATATCTCCATCCAGGCCACCAGACCCAACAGCAGCAGGGTGCATGGGGCTCAGGTCCTAGCAGTCCCTGGGGGCTGGGCAGGGGGCTGGCTTGCAGGTGATAACTGTGTGACAGGATCTTCCCTAGCCTCCTGGTCTTCCTCTGGGAGGCCTCTATCCACCCTACTAGTGTGGCACACTCCACTCAATGAATGGCAAACAGGAAAGGTCATAAAAGAACCAAGGAAGTGAACCAAAAATCGATAAAAGTGGCCCCTTAGCCAGGCTACCCCCACCCTGCTGGCTTTGCTCTTTGTTGTCTGTTTAAGTGTCACTGCTGGGATTTGCTTTGTACAGAGATGCAAAATGAGACAGAAAATAGATTTTATATAATAAACATGAAAACAGCTGCCACTGAGTCTATACTGACTCATGGTGACCTCATGTGTGTCAGAGTAGAACTGTGCTCCACAGGGTTTTCAGTGGCTGATTTTTCAGAAGTAAATCACCAGGACTTTCTTCCAAGGTACCCCTGGGTAGTCTTGAACCTCCAACCTTTCGGTTAGCAGACGAGTGAGTGTTCTCTGTTTGCACCACCCGGGGCTCCATTTTATATAACACCTCCCTCAGGGCTAACAGATCTGTGCTCAGGACATAACTGCAAAGTTAGCAAACCACTGTTGACACCCAACAGAGGAGGCACATCCACCCCAAAGCAAGAACAAGCGTGGTGCCTTGTGAATCTAATTACCCAAGATCTCAAGAAGCAGTGAATGCCACCTGTGCAGGGTGAACAGCAGCTCTCAGAGTGCAACGCTTTCTGCTGAGCCTGCTTTGGGGAATCAGCCTTGGGGTGTGTGTGTGAAAGGCCTCCTTGAGTTCCAACACTTGGAAGACAAGGAAGTATCGTTTACAGTCAAAAATCCTCAGAAACAGCCGCCAACAGAGCCGCTGGCCACACCGCCCCTCCCCCCTCCTCGAAGAGCTGTGCCCTGCCACATGCCATGGGTACTCACAAGTTTCAGCTGCTGCTGTGTGTACAGCATCTGTCCAGGCAGGGCTGGTGCCTGGGATGTCACAGACTGTGGCGGCAGCTGCAGTGGTTGGTTCTGAGCAACTGGCGGCTGCTGGGGTGGCGGCGGCGGTGGCTGGTGGTGCTGCGGGTGATGCATCTGCTGCAGTTGCTGCGGTAGGGCCTGGGTGGGTGGAGGCTGTGGCTGCTGCATTGGTGACTGCTGCATCGGTGGGGCCTGCAAAGCCTGCTGCTGCTGCTGTTGCTGCTGTTGTAGTTGCAGCTGTGCCATCCGCTGCAGCTGCTGTTGCTGCTGCTGTATCTAGGGACAGAACAAGTTGACAGTCAGCTCCCTCGCCCCCAGGGATGCCAGCTGCCCTGTGGTGGCTGTGTTCTCAGGAAATCCAGGTGGGCGCTGGTACAACCTGCGATGAAGCCTGCCTGGGATGACCTCTTAAACGGGGAGGAAAGGGGATGAGCTGCTCACAGAGGGGCTCTGGGCCCCTGAGGCCAACACTGCAGACGCACAGTATGCTTCTGTGCTCTGCCACCAGAGCCCCTCCACCTCTAGGCCTGGACAGCATCAAAGAAGGGTAAAGGGAAACATCTAGGTGGTTAGGTATAGAGTACTAGAGAACAGGTGCAGCTCCAGAAGCAAGGACAAGAGCTTGGATAACTGCAGATTTCTGAAGCCTTCTCCAGTGATGCCTGTCTGTGCCTCAAGTGGTAAGCAGTATAAGCCTCATGAAGAAGGCCAACGTCTGCTTTCAGAAAGCAAAGGAAAAGCGGCGGCTAAATGAGGTCCACTGTCAGTTCTGGGAGTGATGACCTCCACGATCCAGAGGAGGGTGGCAACTGGGGAGGGGGGACCAGAAGGCTAAGGCCTGGAGGTGCCAGGGGATGGAGAGGCCATATGACCTGACAACAGATGCTCAACGTGTCTAGACTGTGACTACAAACCATGAGAGAGAAGAACAATTCATACAGAGCTTCCAACGTGACATGCCACTCCCCTGCAAAACACCAGCTGGAAGTTGATTATACTGTGGCAGATGCCCAAACACTCAAAGGCAAAGCAGCAGGCAGGCAAGTCCTCAAAAGGAACTCCACCAAGGGAGGGGACAAGCATTCCGCATCTTTGAATGTTCTTCTCATGTCTTGCTTTGGCTAGCTCTTCTATGAGGCACTTCTGCCCAGAAGCTTCCACTGATCCAGTGCCTCAGCACCTAGTAGGTCTGTGCCAGGCACCCTGCACCTGACTGAGGCCCTCCTCTGCACTCTGCTCACAAGTCTTCTCATTGTCCCCAGACCTCGCGGAGCCATCGCGAGGGGCTGGCACCAGGTGGGCTCTGGGCCCCTGCACGCAGCACTGTGGCAGCAAGGGGCCAAGGCTTGCAGACGAGAGGAGGAAGGCAGAGAGTGGGAAGAAGGACCCTGGTACCTGTTGCTGGTTCTGATGATGCAGTTTAATCAGGTGCTGCTGCTGCTGCTGCTGCTGCTGCTGCTGGAGCTGCTGCTGCTGCTGCTGCACCACTGCCTGAAACTGTTGCTGCATGGCGCTCTGCTGCGCCTGGAACTGCTGCTGCTGCTGTAGCGCTGCCTGCTGCTGCTGGAACTGCTGCTGCTGCTGCTGCAGCGCCACCTGCTGGAGCTGCAGCTGGGCTGGAGATGGAGACTAGGAGTCAGGTGCAGGTGCATGAAGCCAGGGCATTCTCAAGAACCCAGAGGGCCGCACAGCAATGGAAGCAACAAGAAGCAAAGGCCCATGGCCATCACTACCGTGCAGGCAGGAAGAACATTCAGACGGAGCCCACTGCCTGGACTACTGCAGGCCACAGGTCTATGCTCGCTAGTTTGAACATAACATTTATTAAGACACAGATACGATGGGAAGTAGCATTTGTGTTGATTACGGTACTTACTACCTTGAATTACTCTGTAACAGCCAAAGAGTAAAGAAAAAAGTCAACCAAGTGTGTTGGATGGACAAAAGGCCTGACCCTAGGTTATAGGTTTCCAAGTTATGGACATTTCCTATGAACAGAATCATATAATATATGGTCCTTTGTGATTGGCTTGTGTCACTCAGCATAATATCTTCAAGGTTCATCCATGATGCAGCACGTATCAGTATCTCATTCCTTTCTACTGTTGATTAATTAATATCCTATTGTATGGATATACCACAATTTGATGGACATTTGGGTCATTTCTATTTTTTGGCTAATACGAACAATGCACAACCATGCACAAGTTTTTGTGCGGTGGAGTTTCTTTTTAGGGTGATGAAATGTTCTAAAATTGATTGTGGCGATGATTGTACAACACTGTGAATATATTAAAAATCATGAATCATGTACTTTAAATGGGAGAGTTGTATGACATGTAAATTATATCTCAATGAAGCTGTTTGAAATAGCCAAAACAATCTTGAAAAAGAACAAAGTAGGATGACTCATACTTTCAATTTCAAAACATACTATAAACTTTGGTACTGGTAAAAGGACAGATGTAGAGACTAATAGAACAGAATTGAGAATCCTGAATAAACCCATACATCTATGAACAAATGACTGTCCACAAGGGTGTCAAGTCCACTCAACGGGGGAAGAACAGTCTCTTCAGTAAATGGTTCTGGGACAACTATGTCTCCACATCAAAAGAATGAAGTTGAACCCCTACCTCACACTATATATGAAAATTAACTGAAAATGGATCAGTGACTTAAATATAAGAACTGAAACAATAAAACTTTTAAAAGAAAACAGGGGTAAAGCTTCAAGACCTTGTTTTTGACAATGGATTCTTAGATATGACACCAAGAGCAAGAGCAACAAAAGATAAATTGGAAAAGATAAACTGGACTTCATCAAAATTAAAAAACTTTTGTGCATCAGATGACATTATCAAGAAAGTGAATGGGAGAAATACGAGAAAATATTTGGCAATCATAATCTGATAAGGGTTTAATATCCAGAATACATAAGGAACTCTTACAATTCAACAACAAAAAGACTAATGACCCAACTAAGAAATGGGCAAAGGAGTTGGATAGGACTTAATATACAAATGGTCAATAAGTACATGAAAAGATGCTCAATATCATTAGGCAAATGCAAAACAAAACAACGAGATATTAACTTCACACCCACTAGGATGGATATTATCAGAAAAACAAAATAAAAAGTACTGGGATAATGAAAAATTGGAACCCTCATCCATTGCTGGTGGAGTTGTAAAATGGAGCAGCCACTGTGGAAAACGGTTTAGTGATTCCTCAAAAAGTTAAACAATTACCACGTGACCCAGCAATTCAACTTGAAAGTATATACCCCCAAAGACTTGAAAGCAGGGATGCAAACAGATATGTGTATACCAATGTTCGTTGCAGCATTATTCACAATAGCCAAAAGCTGAAAACCCAAGTGGTCGTCAACAAAATGCATAAACAAAATGTGGGCTATCCATACAATGGAATACTATTCAACTATAAAGAGAAAGAACTCAATTAAGAAACAGGCAAAAGACTTAATATACCAACGGTCACCTTGAAGACTAAGGTGCGCCTGACCCAAGCCATGGTGTTTTCAATCGCTTCATATGAATGCGAAAGCTGGACAATGAATAAGGAAGACCGAAGAAGAAATAATGCCTTTGAATCGTGGTATCAGTGAAGAATACTGAATGTACCATGGACTGCCAAAACAATGAACAAATCTGTCTTGGAAGAAGTACAATCAGAATGCTCCTTAGAAGCAAGGATGGCGAGACTACATCTCACATACTTTGGACACGTTATCAGGAGGAATCAGTCCCTGGAGAAGGACATCATGCTTGGTAAAGTAGAGGGTCAGTGA